GAACTGCTTGTAGAACTGCGATGCGATGTGGTCGAAGGGCTTATTTGCCCTAGGCTGCTGGGCACAGCAAATGGAATCAACACACCAAACTAGCTCAAGCCTCAAGACTACATGTGAGCCATAGTCTAAACTCCTTGTATCACCCTGTAATAGTCCCCTATATAATCCCGTATATAACCCCCTTTAAGGAGTTTAGACTACGGCTCATGTCCCTGTACTTCTACATGCTTGGATCTGACAGGCTTGCCTGTTTTGCTTGGACCATCCTCGAAACCCCAGTGCCGCAGAATATCAAATCCTGCAATCACCCTAAGTGTTCAGGCTATAAACCCAATATACTATGGTAGTTTCCATTTTCTTTTTCCATTATCCCTATATAATCCCTATATACAACATTAAGCAAGCACCACACCCTGCATAACCTCCAGCACCATTTGAAATTCTTGAGCTCGGCCTCTTCTGCAAATGAGAACAAACCGTTACAATCATGATGCTAGTGCCGGCCTTGACCAAAAGCTATGTATATACCGATCTTTCGCTCCCTTGCTTCTGACATGTCGTTCCTCTGACCCCTGCATTTCAAGAGATGGACACTTATCAAACTTCTGGCCCCTTTGGGGGCGCCCGAAATGTTAGGGGTCGCATTGTAATGAGACCCTAACAAGAAAGCATGTTTTTGACCGCCCATCAGATGAAACCGGAATACGATACCCAGAAAGGGAGGAAAAACTATACACCTGAGCTGGAGGCTCTTTGAGCAAGTTCAGTAAGCCATCGAGCTCCTGGCAAGTCCCAGGGCGCTCAAATCCACTTCATTGAGAATTATACCTAGACTTCCAAATACCTACGCGAATGGCCTTTGACCCCAAAATTATGTGCATTGTCAACACGGGTTGTTCGGAGTTTTAGGTACCCGCTGGCCTTTTGCTGACACAGCTCTACAACTTGTTACAGCAGCTTTAGCATCTCGCGGGAATTCGTGGGATGAAGGTATGCACTTCTGTTGCTAACGTGGGATTCTCAAAGTCTCGCGTGAGCTCTAACGAGTCCGACGGTTCGCTGATAGCACAAGCTGTTGGGCTAGAAGCAGACGGTCCTGGAGCTTACGAGTCAATCCTTACGAAGCTTGCTAAGGTTCCGCTGAGGTTTCTGAGGACATTGCTCGCCTGCCTGACTATTCCATGTCTTGCATCTTCTGAACCCGGGAGCTTTGAACGCAAGCCCTTGAGGCCTCACATAGGCTGTTATTACTGGGAGAGATCAAAACATGCAGCGACGACCGCTGTCCAGACTTCTAAAGCAGTTGGGGTAATGTTGGCAACGACAGGCAAGAAATGTACTGGTCTACGGTGTAACTCCCAGTTCAAAGCCTGAGTCAAGGCTCGAGACCCATGGGCCAGGAACATGAGCTCTGTTAAGTTGAAAATGTCCATAACCTCGAGAGCTAGGTGAAAGACCCAAAGCTTGCACCTGCTGCGTCAGCATGGCTGCGCGCGAGGCAGGAATCTTCAAATACTTGAGCCACTCTGCAAAGAGTCGGAGAAGATGCGCGCTAGTCTCCCCAGATTCAATCCCTTCCTTCCTTCCACTTGCGATCCGCCTTTCCAACATGTAGTTAACAGGTTTCGGGAAGATATGTTCAAGGCATTCTTGTCTTGCAAGCAAACCAAGAAACTGGGCCATTGTTTTTGCCAGTAGCTTTGTCGCCGAGTGTGTCCAGAAGGCGACGGAATGGACAAGGCTCTCTTCCTCCAAGGATTTTGGTCTGGGCTTTCGAGGCCCATTTACAATTTTAACCAAAGTTGCGCAAAGTTATGGCTACTCAAGGTCTTTCGGTGCCTGTAGCTGGGACAATCCGCTTTCTCGAGCACCAGCGAACTCCAAGGAAGCCAAAGTGATCTTGCAGTACTCTCAAACCAGAGCAACAACAGTGGCAGCGGCGACAGCAGTAGCAAAGAAGCAGCGGCAGCGCTAGAACCAGCCCAGCCTTTTTAACGTCAGATAGGGGGAATAGGGCCACGGGTGCCTGCTAGCAGCAGAGCAGCACCGGCAGTGACGCCGCACCAGTAATTTTCACTCATATTGTATCATTTGAAGTCAGGGCTGTGGAGACGAACACGAAACGGCTGCGTGGAAGTCAGAGAATGTCCCCTCATTTTCTAACCGCATAACATGATTGGGAACTCAAGCCTCATGATTCGGCACATGAGTGCCGATCCAAGACTTTCGGGTTTTAACGCCAAACTCTAACCTCCGAAGCGCAATATCCTCAATGCCAATTCTAAAACACAAGCCCGAAACGTCGATCGCCAAAAAACAGATCCTGAACTTGAGACCTCAGCCCCCGACCTTGCACCTCACTAGCGGAAACATTAACACTCAGGCCTAAACCATGTACCTACATAGTCCACAGGATATGACTGTGACTGACAGTACAAGTAATCATTCTGGCAGCCAAAAACCTCATACGTAAACGCAACCCTCTACAATGGCGGGGCAGGACCAATTCCTGGAGCCATTTGTCAGATAAAAAATGCTAGAAGAAGGAATCGTACTTAATTCATGCGTTGGGGAATACAAGTAATTATTCCTCAGCCTGGGCATTAGCCGGAATCTTGAGTCCCCCGCGTTGTAGCGCCGCATTGCGGCGCTGGCGCCATGAACATCCAGAGACTCCGACATGCAGAGGAGCTCCGCCAAGTTTGCGAAGCGTGTGATGCCTGGCGCTAGGCTAGGGGCAAATGATCTATTAGGGGTACCTACTATAATGGAGAATCAAAGGGAAAAGATTATGGAAAATGAAATGGAAGCTGGTGTTACATAGGGGATTATAGGGGTTGATGATCTTGAGCGTAAGACTTTGGGCAGCTGCAAGATCTTTCTGCGGCACAGCGATGGGTCTGCGCAAGATTCGCAAACTTCATGGAGTGTTGGGGAACACAACTTAAAGACAAAGTCCTTCTTCCTAGGTCTCCATACAATGTAACATGAATCTCCAAGATCTTTTCAAAGCAACTTGCAACTCCCATGTCAGCTCAACACTAGGAAAGCCGCATCCCACCTCATCTCGAGGTCGGGATTCTGAAGAAAAATTAAGGTAAAGTCGGAACTGTCTCTCATCGCATTCCTCAAGGGCCCTGGCTAAACTCCATGAACTTTACAGCCAGCATAGACGGACATAGAACCTCCACTTGCATGGTTCTTCACTATGAGAGTCTCCATGGCTTGAAGAAAGGCCCTAAGATGGGACAAGCACATGAATGCCAAGTGCCTTCTTCAAGACGGCAGAGGCTGCACATGCGCAAGTTGTGGCATGAATCTCCAAAGTACGCCAAACTGTCTAGGAAGAATCCTTTCAGTTCAGGCAAGACCAGAGCATCCCCGTTGCAGTCTTCGCATAAAATCCATGAGAAGCTGGAGGACTTCGAAAGCTTACAAGAGTGGACAAATGACTGCAAGGATCATACCAGCTATAGTCTAAACTCTGAGTATCCTCCTAGACTATGGCTCATACAGTGTCTTTCACCTGGGAGGCTTCTCACAACCCTTACCCTAGACCCTAAACCCCAGACATCAGACCCTAAACCCTGAACCCAACAGCAAAACTCGGCCTGGAAATCGAGAAAAGTCGGAGAACCTCACAGGCTTTACTTGTATACATATTGGTATTATTATTTGCTCGTTTGCTCTATCTAGTCCTGGAACCCCTAGGCCCTAATCTTCAGAACCACTGAACTGTTTTTTTAAGAAATACCGCCTGCGCACGCTCACTTGCTAGGACACAACCATCGAAACAAACATACGCAACCTTAGAAGCACACCTCTTGTCCATCCAACCAGCTCCTGCAGGCAAAAGACAAGGAAAGCCCCAAAGTGCTAGTAACTTCTTCACTATGCACATGAGCAAATGCGGGGCTACTATCCGCAATTTTTTGAAGGTTCCCGTATGGATGGCTCAAGCTTTGATAGAACTTGCACTACGAACGGAACCTTCAAAGCTTACCTTCAAACCGAACCCTCGAAGGTACCCTCCCTTCATATGGTAGTTTCCCTAAAAAGGAGGACCCCAAAAGGGACGCGAAAACACTACGATCCTTACTATAGGGACCCCCCAAAAAGGGTACCAATAATTTTGGGAATCCACCATATCCACACTGAGATTAAGTCTCCGACTGATACCAGTACCTGCCCAGGATTCTCGGCTTCGGGGCAACTTCGAGGACATGCTGATCCTTCTCTAGGGTCTAGGGTTTAGCAAGACACCCCTTTAGACTGTAATTATGGTGATAATAACAGTAATAAGTTTAATCGTACGGGTTTCAAGGCTTAAGGCTTAGGCTATGAAGCAGAGCTTCAGCTTTACGGAGCGGCAGGCAATTGCTGAGACGACAGGAAATGGGCAGATGCTTTGACAGCCTTTCAACAGGTACCCACTTGGACCAGCATTATGTAAGAAATTTGGTTGATCGAATTGCAACCAAGACATCGCACCGACATGATGCTTGACAGCCTTACTAATCTTCTTGCACATCCCATGCAACCACAGGAAACTTAGAAAGGCCCGCGAACCCACGCGTAGGTCTTAGGTTTCTAGAAAAATCACCCTTGAAGCCCTACGTTCTGAATGTTGAGTAAACCCGAGAGACCAGGAAGAAGCCAAGAAAGCTCTATGGACCGTGACACAACCTACATGGGACTTAGACAAAGTTACTGTTCTCAAAATACGGAGATTTATACCTTGACACGTTGTATATTAGGAAGCCCACTAAAGGGACCCGGGACCTGTGATATAATGGATTTTATGGATCATACTTGCAACATTCATAATTGATTATGATAGCAATAAGACAATAAGCATCCCTTTGATGGTAGCGAACATAGCACCATCACCCTAATAATTCCCTAGTATTACCGCAATATACTATAGTAGTTTTATGTAGTTTTCATTTTCTTTTCCATTATCCCAATATGACCCCAATATAATCCCTATATAACCCCAATCAAAACGAGCCGACCCCTGGAATCTCTGCACTTGCTGGCCTCATAGCATCAAATCGGGCTCCTCGCCGGAGCCACCAAGTCCCCTGATGCTCTTGCAGCATGTGGGTCGGTGTCTAAGGTTTGGGCCTGCTCTGAGCACCGAAAGATTAAAAGCCACCATATTGAACCAATCAGAACATGGCAGGGAGTCATGAAAATTTAGTGAAGTTTAGTGGTGTGGCTTCCTGGGACCCGAACCGGTGCAAGCTACTCCCATGTTACACTGCTGTGCACCTGCCTTCCGCATGCGCGTCCAGTCGTTGGAGTCGAGCGGGGACATCTGAAAAGGAGTGTAGGGATGCCACACATCCTTAGGTGGAAGTTTCTCAATACATTTGGGTACGGGACCACAGAAAGAATCTGGGACTACATGAGCTATTGTCTAAACTCCTTAAACGGGAAATTATAGGGGATTACGTAGGGGTGTATTAAGGGGGTTATTAAGGGGGGTACAAGGAGTTTAGACTTTAGCTCACATGGCGATTGCAAGGATCCCCAAAAGCGGAAATCATAAGAAAGGGATCAATTTGATGAAGTCCCAAGTGTTCCTGCCAGATTCAAGCGCTTCTGACAGTCTTCAGAAGGCCTGGCATACAGGGTAAGGGCCTGAAGAGACAAAACTGCAACGTCTAAGGTTGTGAGATGTCGCTCGTGATTTCAGTCTGTTTGATTCCTTTTGGCTACACTTGCTGCAAGTGCAATTTCTAGTCGGCAGGGCGAACCCTCAACAAGGATTGAGGCATGACAAGCACGTCCTCAAAAACACCTCAAAATGTGAGCGTCTTGGGCTTGAGAATGAGCACGGGAAGAGCTGGAGCAAACGCACAAATGTCAGCACGGCTAGTCATCACTTGGGGGGCTACTGCACGGAAACTTCACTCTTAGAGCTGCTGCTCCTGAGAGCCCACGGAATCTGCATCATGAAAGCTGCTATCAGCAAAGGCACTGGATGCTTTGGAGCCATCTTCCGCGAGCGTATTGCCTCGATCTTCCGCACAAAAAGCGGTCGTCAAGAAAACTTAGTCTGGGCTGAGCAGGTTTTCTCGCCTGTCTGAGGTGCTTGCAAGGTTCCAAGCACGCCTCTACACATTTACTTTCTCACCAAGAGGTAGGGCTAAGACATGTGACATATCTCAGTGATGCCTTCTGCTCGGAAAGGAAAAGATGCTTCAAGAAGACATTTAGCAGATGGTTCATGATCACAAATTCACGTCTGCTAGCGAGTTCGGTCCCTCTGAACTCCGAGCTTGCGCGCTTCCGTTTCTCAAAGCACTGGGTGATCGCGCAAGGGGAGTTATGAAAAACAAAGGGAACCTCCAGACCAAAGACTGCGAAAACAAACTCCATTTCAGCGAACATCCAATGCAGAAGCTGGCCTGCGAAGAGCTTTTGGCCCCTCCGGAGGCGGAGCGACGTACAACACCTGAGATGCGACCGCAGCTAAAACCCTAACTGGTGACAGAGGTGTTAAAAGCTTGGTTGATATGTTTAGGGGGAAGGTCCTACTGCTCCGGAGGAAAGACAGGAACTGACGAGGAAGCACATCCATTGTCCGATTCACGAAGAACATTCAAAAGCGAGCCAGTTGTTCCGAACTGAAAAAAGTTGCCTCCAACATGATTAACACCTGTGATGCCAATCACCGAAGAACACCCCGATGCCGTCCTTTCTACAAGAAACTCACCTCTCTCACCAAGCAGAGCAGCCCATTGACGTGGAGGAGTCCTGCTGCTCAGCTAACAGGGGTACTTCCAAACATGTTGGCTCCCCTTGTATACCCCAAACTGCCCTAGGGCTGTGGCAGCAATTCTGTTTGGGTTCCAAAGTTATGCGATTTTCCCCGAAATCAGACACTTGTTTGGACTTGAAGGCCATGGAACCATGCTCCTAATCAAAGAAATCCCCTTGCTTGTCAGCTGGTTCCCCTGCAAAAGCTTAAGATTTTTCATGACTAACCTAAGTCTTTCAAAACAAAATGGCAGGATATAGCACAGGGGCCTGAGGTACCATATACTATAATTATACAAGGAATGTGGAACCATAATATTGGTAATCATTTAGGCCCCTACAATAAATGAGGAGCTCCCAAAAAGTCATGGCCACGGGATCGAAGGAACTGGTTCCCACACCCGCCATATCAACAGCCTGCGTATCAAGGTCTGCAAGGGAAGCCTGGGCCAGTCGTTGATGACATCAATGAGAAAGTATCACTGTCTTTGTTTTGCTGGGCGCAGGCAGGTTTTAACCAGGTGTTGCGCAATGTGAACACGGAATCCAGAAAAAAAAAAAAAAGGTTGCTTGCAGCGCACACTTGTTCGCACAGTCCCCTGTAGGTTCTATTTACTGTACACCGCCTGGGAATTGGTAGACATGCGGAAAGCTGCTCGAATACCCCGTTCGATGTGTCAAACCAGCTTGTTGCTCTACGGGAACCTGAGAAGCAGCCGCGAGAGACTATGCTAGACCTGCTGCTCTTTGGCGAGATGTCGCTTGCATCTAAGAAGCCTGCATGTACACAGCATTACTAGGCACAGAGCAGCCTACGATGGCTTCAGAAGAAAAACTCATGAGCCGCACAAAGATCAGACTCCGAAACTCCGAAGCTGATGCGGGATTACTGAATGCTGCATCTCCTCATCGGTCTTGTTCTCCGCGACGGCCAGGAAGTACTTCATGTCCTTAAGCCGCAGTTCAATGCGCAGCTTCTTGGAGTTGGCTGTTGATAGGACCCAAAAGGATAATGGAAAAGAACATGGAAACTACTACATTATAATAGGTTATATACTGGGGTTAGTAGGGCATAAGGGAATCTATTATCTAAGAAAATAAGTACCAGCCCCACCCACACATCCCACCTGGGATATGTAACTCCCGCTTGGAGCTGCGCACTGAAAACTACAAAACCAACAACCGGATCAAAGTTGATGGCTTCATTAATCACCAGGAGACCCTAAAGTCAGGGATCTTGGGGTTTGTACAAATTTCCTTAGATATTATATGGTAGTTTCCGTAAATTACTGTTCCCAAAAGTAGGGCCCGGTATTATAATGGGAACCCAAATATAGGACCCCGTATTATAGGGAATTTAAACCAATACCCATATAGGGATTATATTCCCTATGAGAGCTGAGTGTTCTGCAAACCCAAGTCAAGCCAAGCGTCCTGCATCAGCTCAAGAGCAGCTTTCAAATACCTCGCAGGAAGCGTCTCTTCTTTCAATGACGAAATTCGCCCCGCAGACTTTGACTATAGTCCCCCGTAAGTAGATAGAATATGGCTTTGGATATCTTAGAATAAGATCCCCATATATCCCATAGTCTATCTACTTAAGGAGGACTATACCTCGGCATCCTGGAAGGCCTCTGTCTACATCCCTGGACCCTGGCCCTCAAGCCACACAAACACTACTGCGAAACTCAAATCCCACGTGAGGGCTGGGCTGATTGCCAAATCTAAGGTCCCAAACTATGTACCTAACGTAATTCACCACAGCAAGAAACAACAAAAAATGGACCTTGACTCTTGAAACCCTAAACCTAAACCCTAAACCTAAACCCTAAACCCCCTCAGCCCTAACCCACGGGGGTACTGCTTGGCGGTCTCGAGGTCTGTGGCTTGCAGGCCACGGCTGATCACATCCTGCAAGCGCAACGAATTCCATGAGCCATCTGGCGCTTAGGGCCTGGGGTTGGGGATTTAAGAAAATGGGGCTCTTGTGGCTGCTAGGTTCCCCGAGTACGTAATTCAAAAGTCTGGCGTACGTCAGCACAAGCAAGACACTTACAGCAACTCTTGGGGTGCTAGCATGCGCAAGCTACATTGCCACATTTCCCTGGCATACAAAAGAACGGTCAGTCGTTTCTAGAATCGAAAAAAAGATGCATATGAAACAAAGGAAGCCTGCATTGAAAGTTTTGGCGTGGACCAGCCAGCCACATAGTAACTTGCATCTGCAGCCTGCCTCCGCGACACCACGGGCAGCCTGTTTGCGACGGGCTGGGCTCAGCTTTATTTCCTTCTCTTTGCAATACAATGGGAACATCCTTCGGATTATAAGCTCACATGAAAAGGCATGCGGGGCTGATGTCCAGCCGTAGTTTTGTACTGTTTCTTAGCTGCCTTCATGGATCGTTGGAGAATCTTGCCAGTGGCCCAGGTACAACTGTGAGAGAGAAAACAACTCTTATAAACAGGAGACCCGGAAACGAAACGAACTGCCCTGATTTCAGGTGAGCTTCAACTTGAAACCAAACCTCTCCTGTACGCCCCTGTCTCACGCCTCATTGTTTTACACCGTTTGTAAACGAGCTACATATGCAAGAAAACGACAAGACACTGGTATTTGGCTATGAGCTCCAGGCCTTTGCCGAGCTGAGCCCAGTAGCTGCACTCGGCGGCATAGATTGCCCTTCAGCCTGCATTGTGAGGGAGCTTGCTCTCAGTGACGATATTCAGAGCTGATTGCAGGCTCGGGCATTTTGCGCGGAGCAAGAGCACACCATAATCCTGAATCCAAATTCAAACCCCATAACGGGATATGAAGGGCTTTGGGAAACCAGATGCCATCGTCTCTTGTGTGCTGACCATGTAAACCCAGCGACATCCCCAACCCTCACTACAAACACGGTATTAAATTAAAGCCCGTTAACACACGCATTATACCCCTTGGTATAACCTTTGATAAGTACGTTGCCCAACCCATTAGTAGCCAGCCGCAACTTCCAGTTCAATTTTGCATTTCCTTATCTATCTGATGTTTCATGTGTCTCTTCCGTTTGGTGCTGCGTTTTTTGCATCATAATCCCCAAGCCCTAAACCCTGAACCTGCAATAATTGCCATTCTGATTTCCACTTCTAAATGAATTACAAATTACCCCGAATATTCCTACATGACCCTCATGGATACCTTTTTTCACATCTGTACAGATGTTGGCTCCCTTGAAAAGGGCCCATCTACCAAGTATCCTTATACAACCCATACACATGCATATAAGCACATATAACCCCCTTTTAAATGGGACCCAAACTCCAAACCCTAAGCCCAAAATACAAACATATCGTAACCCCCCTTGTAAAGGACCCATATGGTAGTTTCCCTAAATAAGGGGACCCCAATATAGACCCCAATATACTATAGTCCCTATTCTAGGGACCCCCAAAAAGGTACACCTAATTTTGGGAAACCCCATATCTCTTCCAACAAAACAAACTCAGCCTCGGCAAACTCGACCCGCGGCGGAGTGTAGCCAGGAAGCACGGACTGGGACAAGTGCTTCAGCTAAAGCAAAAGCCATCAGGCTTTGAAGGGCTTATAGGAATTAGGGATATTACCCGAATAATGGAAAATCAAAGGGAAAATAGAAAGTTACATGGAAACTGGATTGATTCACCAAGCAGAAGTGTAGCACCAGGTGGTGGGATCACTCTTGCAGCATTGATTGAAAAATGTGTCGAGCTGCAGCTCCTGCAAGCTGACCTTGGCTATCCCTCATTGCATTACATGCAATTCCCGAACGTGAACTACCACCAGTCAAGGAAGTTTTGTTTGAAGGAGGCTCTTCGCGGGCTGCGCAAGTCTGGAGGCCTGCTAATGGGCTGCATTGCTAATGGGCTGTGTAGGTCTCTGCACTTCGAAAGCCTTCCAACACAACTAAGAACATCCATTACATGCTGGAAACAGCACTTCCAAATTTGCAGCAACGAACTCGCATCCTAGAACCTCTGAAGCACGGTGAACCCTCAATGTCAATGGTCATACAATGAACGGCAAATCCGAACATTCCAGATCGAAGGCCTACCCCAAATCCGTCTACGTTCGTGCTAGGCCGCCTCAGTTGATCCCCCTATAAACCTCATCTTAGCCCCATCGCCCGAAATCCATCGCCTGGTATAGGCGCTCTCCCACCGAGAGCTGTCCCCGCTGGTAAAGCAAGCGGTACCTGACATCACCGTGAAGAGCAACGAGAAAAGGCAAGCTACAGGCCAAGGGGGCAGATCACAACTCTCCGAGAGTTGAGCAGCCAGCAACATAACCGGGCAAGAACTCAAGCCAGCCGTGTACACCCATTCAGCCTTGAGGTTTAACCGAGGTTCCCGGAAAAAGGCATGGCTCACGACGACGAAGGCCGTACACTCGCCGGCTCTCAAGCTACATCAAGAGGAGGCGCACCCGCAAATCGAACCCTCAAATAGGAGACATGACAAAATTTCTCTTTCGTGGCCGATAGCACACCACATCTGAATAATGAGACTAAAATCTATGTCGCAAGCTAAGCACGGGCGAGAAGGGCATACTGCTCTGAAGGGCTCAGGTGCTCTAGACACGACGTTCCAGGATTTGAAGAGCCAGGTTGCATCCACTCCGTGCCAGGCATGAGCCTGGGTTGCTGTTAAGGAACTTAAATTAAGTTACCATAATGGGTATATAGGGTTTCCCCAATGTAGTGAAAGTTACTTTATTGGGGGAACCATATTAATTACTATGTATATACCCATTATGGTAACTTAAAATAAGTTCCTTAACAGCAACCCAGGAGCAGCGGAATGTTGGCACTATACCTTGGCGCTCACGGTGCAGAGCTGCTAGGCTTATAGTCCCCCTTAAGTAGATAGAATATTGCTTTGGGTATATTTTAATATGATCCCCGTATACCCATATTCTATCTACTTAAGGGGAACTATAAGACAAAGGCTTTGGGGATTTATGAGGGTTGACGAATGCTTGCAGGCAGAAATCAGGGGGTGCCAAGGTTTGGGGTAAAGGGTGCAAGGCCCAATATGCAACGATGTCCAAATTACTTGAATGTGCACGGACAAGCAAATCCATTTAGCTTGCCTGAAGCACGACATGCCTGGCAGCCGCTACAGAAGCCGCGTCAGTGGTGCCAATCGAAAAACTGCTGCCAATATGGGCAACACAGTTGTGCATACATGGGTGGTTGTCAAAATTATGATCCCTTTTTGGGTACCCAAAATACTAGGTGCCGTATTATGATAGGCATCCAGAAAGGGACCATAATTTTGACAACCACCCACATGCCTGCTTTAGCCTGCATCCGTGCAACCAGGCTGCAGCTCGTAGAAAGTCATCAGCGCATGGTCCCAGGGAATCAGCGCAACTGCCTGAGCAATGGGATACACGAAAAGAATGCCTGAACCTTTGAGAGACATGTGTCTTATGAATTGACGGCAGGGATGGCATTAGTCTTATGGCTCAGGGCTTGCAACTGGTGTTTTTGGCTCAAGGTGCCGGGACAACTTACCACAGGAAGCCCCCATGTTTGGTAGGAGATTCATTGCCAAACTGGTTAGTCTCGCACGCAAAAACGGCCTTAAGGCTGAAGCCTCAAAACTTCCCCTGCTAAGAGAAGTGCTGGTTGTGAGGAGCTCTCGGGTTTACCTTAGGTCGGAATTCGAGGCCAAAGAGTCGGGCGAAGCTAGCATTTTAGCAGGTTTTCTTGTTTAGAACCTTTGTGACATACATGACCCATTTTTGGATCAAGTTGACGGTTCCAAAAACCTACCAATACAATGAATTAACTCTCATTATGAGATAAACCTAACTACTGAACACAAGAATAGTGTTTTTGGGACGGTTATCAGGACCGCTCAGGTAATACTAAAGTTTACTCTCATCATGTCCGTGAGTAGCCTTCTGTTCTGAACCATGGAACTTGTACTGCGAAAGAGCTTTGCGGTGGCCTTACAACAACTCCACAATGGCTGAATCTCTCCTAAACCCTAAACCC